TAGGGTCCTGGCTGTATATTTTGCCGCGTTGTTTACGAAATGCACATCATATTAAATTAATCATCAGTAATCACCGATGCACAGCCAGTACTGTATAAATACAAGCCATTTGTGCAACTCGGTTTGCAACTGCACATTGATTGGTGGAAAATATTTTTTGGTGTTGTACTAGACGCGTAGGTTTGGATGTCCTCCTCGTTTGGGATCTTCACGCAGGCCCGCTATAATGTTAGACACTGATAAAGATCTACCATACGTAGTACACACTCTGTCAATTGCAGTGCCACTAGTGTAACCTGCTTGAACGAGATTCGTCACAACCCTCCAGAAGTGTTTTCTCCGTGAATAGGCAAATTTGTTCGCACCGCGTTCAGTCGGTGTGAAAGCATTTGCTGCCTTCAAGCCAGCAAGACCGAATTGATGTTCGTACCAAAGTTCGTAAAGGTCCTTGGGTCGCTTGGAGAGCCGGGCCGTTAAAGTAGGTCTATACTCTGCCCCGTCGAGATCTCCATCACCTTGCGTGTGGTATGAAGAATTGCCGGTCTGAACACGTGGAATGGGGCATGCAGCTACTCGCCGTAGGATAGCCACCACCTTTTCCATTTCGCGCTGTGACTCTCGTCTTGAGTGTAGCACCTCGTTCATCAGCTCGGTCATGTATCGCCGTGATGTCAGTAGCTGTGAGTGGAGCGCTGCAAATTCGCGCCGAGCTCCTTCTCCTCCACCGCCCGAGACTGTTGCAGTCAGCGAAGATCTGGTTTCATTCATCTCTACGACTTCACCTTCGTTTATCACTACGAGATTTAATTTAGAACCATCTCCAAGCACGTAAAGCGCCTCTCTGTCAACAGGATTTAGTTCAGAATTCCCACCAGTCTTTTTGTATGCTTCAATAATCCGCTGTTGCAACGCACTAGGAAGGAGGTCGCAAATGTTATCGGTAGACTCCAGCGCAGCCCATAGTAACGGCAGCGCTAGTGTTTTTGCGATTGATTCGCCCATCATCACCTTCACAGTAGGAGCCACATCATTGAGAAGCAGGTTTGGTTCAACGCATTGAATTTCTTGCTTTAGTTTGTAGAAACAAGGTCCAGCAGGGCCAGATAGCACTGCTGCCGCGCATGCGTCCGGGTATGGTTGTGTATTGTCAATGTAGACATCCACGACTGCCTTGCGTGTTCGCCAGCGCCGCACTGGTTTCATGTCGTCAGTGGGATCGAAGTCTCCATACGCTCTTTTGTTCATCCATCGGCAGACGTCGCTCGGTGTGATCTTCAGAAGTGCTTCAGTGGTGAACGTGTGGTCGGATCCGTAGGAAATGCCGTCCTTGAAGGACATCAGCCTCACTAAGTCTGCCTTGTAGCGATTCATTTAGGCTTAAGTGCGTCGGGAGGATTCTAGAAGTGAGCGCTTAAGTACAGCGACTGAAGTTTGCAACCGAAGGCGAATATCTGGCTCTTTGTATGGGTAAGGGTTGCAAATCGGCTCAATTTTTGCTACCGTGTTTGCAACCCAAGGTTGCAAAAATACCATGTATCTGTCGTCGTATTGGCCACAGCTGTGACCAATACGACGACAATCAAGCGTTATTAGCCAACCAGTGCCGTGGTTCGCCAGAAATACAACCTCGGTTGCAAATGGCTGATGATGTAGTGGTGGCGACGTTATCGTTACATCGTTAACTAGCAAATAACGTTATCTGAGCTAAGTTAGTTGGATTAACTACGCAATAACACGGGGCTATATTTGTAGTTTTATCGTATTACACCGTAGCTTTGTGAAAAGTAAATTCTGGTGCTTCAGCCACAAACTGGTTTTATCGCAGCATATTTCTGGCGACGCTGAACTTTGGACTACATGTCCACGCCACGTTCTTAGAAGCGCGCTTCAGCC